AATTATACAAAATTATACAAAATGAATGATAATTAAAAAGAAATAAGTTATTATTATTATAACACATGTGCTCACAGCTCAGAACTCGCGCTTTTATTCCAGCAGACGCTATTAAAATATACAATCGAACTATTGAAGATAAAACGTTGTTATCTTAATCGAAACTTAACCAATATTATTGCGGTTTTTTCTATGAAAAATAGATATGATTATCAAATTATATAGTTTCTTTGATAGTTTAATCTATTAATCGATGTATTTTTAAATTTAATTTATTACAAAAATACTATAATAATACGTTGTAAAAACAAATATTTATCAACCTATACTATTATAAAGGAATTAACACGTTTTGATCTAAAAATAGATATATCATTTTTTTCTCAAATTAATGGAATAATAACGTTTTGCATTAGATATTATTTCGTATTATTAGCATGGGATTTATTACGTTTTAATTGAATTGTTAAAAAAAAGTTATAAAAAAATAAAACTAAATATTATATTGTCATAATTATAACTATAATTAAATTGAGTTTAATCTGTTATAGAAAATAATATAACATCACAGCATTAAAACTTATTATGTATGCTATGAGTATTCAATTTACATTTTTAGGGAGATGATTAGTTTCAAAAATGTCTAATGTCAGAAATGAACTATCTGGCCATGCTATAACTTTGTCCTAGAAAATTAATTGTATGATTTTAAATAAGTTATCATTATTAACAGTAAAAATAATGTGAAAAGAAACAATATTATTTAAAATAATATGATAGTTTCACTTTATTAACAATAAACAATTTGAATCACCTATATTCCAAAATATTATTAGGTTTAAACTAAATATATAAAATGTTTGATTTTATGAGTAAAATATATTATGATCTCTATCAGTGTATTAAAAAAAAAGTACAAGATATTACCTCTGGTATCATTTTTTGGGTATCATTGAATAATAATTATCTAACAACGCTCTTCTATAAAATAAAATATCAAATTAGATATAATATTTAATAGTTTATGAATATTAATGTTTTGAATAATATACTATTCATAGGGTATAATGTAGGTAATAAAATGTAGTAGGTACTTACTTTCTGTACTGACTGTACCCTTGGCTGTACAGCTACAGCATTTACCATTTTTCGAGCTCGGTTAGGTTAGGTTCAATTAAAAATTGAAACGTAATAATTCATTACATATTTTATGAAATTATACAAAATTATACAAAATGAATGATAATTAAAAAGAAATAAGTTATTATTATTATAACACATGTGCTCACAGCTCAGAACTCGCGCTTTTATTCCAGCAGACGCTATTAAAATATACAATCGAACTATTGAAGATAAAACGTTGTTATCTTAATCGAAACTTAACCAATATTATTGCGGTTTTTTTCTATGAAAAATAGATATGATTATCAAATTATATAGTTTCTTTGATAGTTTAATCTATTAATCGATGTATTTTTAAATTTAATTTCAATATTACAGAAAATGACACTATGGAAATAATACGTTTTGTAAAAACAAATATTTATCAACCTATACTATTATAAAGGAATTAACACGTTTTGATCTAAAAATAGATATATCATTTTTTTCTCAAATTAATGGAATAATAACGTTTTGCATTAGACAATATATTTTTCGTATTATTAGCATGGGATTTATTACGTTTTGACTTGAATTGGAAATAATACGTTATGAAAAAAATTTAAAAGTGGAAATAAAACGTTTTGAATTAAAGTTGATTTTTAAATGTTACTTTTGTACGTTTTATAACAATCGTATACAAAAATAAATGCCTTAAATGAATTCCTCATGGTCTTTATAAAAATAATCAATGTATATCTCAATTTTCCACAATTTTGGAGTCATAATATAAGTCATAATTAAGTCATAATATAAACTACACTTATAGAAATGTATAAAGATGAACCTATATTAACGCAGAGAGAGATAATCCAACAAATGTATTCAGAAATTCCCGATGAAGTAAATCATGACATTAGCGTCGAAGAAGATAAAGGTAAATAACCTACCTATGTAACAATATATATATGTTTAAAAAAACTTATTTATGTGCATTATGTTTTAATTGATAATCTGACATTTGACACAAAACACTTTTATCGATACTTGCGATACTGGATATTCCACACTGATCAATAGATAAATTGAAATAAAATACTTAAATTGTCTTAATTGTATTTAATTTATTTTTATAGACAGAACATGGTCAGTAGAATCAACCAAGTTTCTTATAACATTGCGTGTCTCCTATAGTTCTCAATTTTTATCAGCAAAAAAAAAAAGGTAAAAAATCTAAACTCTGGGAGCTAATTTCAAATGAAATCGCTGAAAAGGGCTATTCGTTTTCGCCTAAAGTTTGTGATGAGAAATGGCGTAGACTATCTACACAACATAGAAAATATTATGATTTATCAAAAAAATCAGGCAACAATACAATCAAATGGCAGTATTATTAATTAATGGATGAAGCAATCATACCTTTAGGAAAAAAACAATCCATATCTCCTCCCAAAGGTAAATTATTTTTTTATAGATTGTGAGTAGTCCTGTACAGTCGAGGGGTAAATACCCGACAGAAAGTTTGTACACCAGATTACTGATTTCAATGATTATACCAATGATAACCTATGATTACCCATGATTACCATCACCTTATGTACACTGATTACCCCCAAAGTGTTTATCCCTTGTGTACAGTGTACAATTAGGGTTCTAAAATTTCATGAAATATTTCATGAAACTTTCATAAAATATTTCATTTTTTTGAAAAATAATAAAAAAATTATTTTAATTTAAAACTAGAGTAGAAATGTTATTGAAATATTTCTTACATACCTAGTACAGTATACAAATTACATAATTTTCATATAAACATACTTAAAAAAGTTTCAAAACACATGAATTAGGTACCTATAACAATTTTTTTAATTTGTGTTTATTTAATATTTAATAATTACTAATTAGATATAGTTATAACCAGAGTCCCTATTATAAGTATCTATGAGTTAAAATCTTATATAATAATCCTATTTGAATTCAAATAAAAAAAAAATTTAATTTATAATTTACAGCCTATAGAGCTAATATAATATATTATTATCATATTTGTATATTAATATATTAGGAATATAATAATATTATATAATATATAATATTACTATTGGCAATTATCATTATAATTTATAAACATCAAAGAAAAACAAATCATATTTTGAAACAAAATTATGTTTATTTATTTAAGTAGATAACAATTAACAATACACATCTTACACTTCAGTGTTAAAGATCATTTATAAAACAAAATAAAATAGTTAATACATTTAGTTTAACATTAATCATTAACTAATAAAAATAAAATGAATTAATACTTTTATTAATGTTTGCAGACTTGCAATAAATCTTTAAAAATGAAAAACAGAAATTAAATGCCTCACTTTGGCCCCTGTGCATAGTTGAGAGTTTTAGACTTGCAACAAATTTCTAAAATTATAATCAAAAGTAAAATGCCTCTCTTTGGCCACTGTGTATGGTTTAAAGTAGATATATATATATATATATATATATATATATATAATTATATATAGAAATCAGTGTGACCATCTAGTGATGATTTTGTCAAACACACCAAAAACACAAAAATAAAAAAAAATTAAAATAATATATTTTCCAATATTTCAAGAAGAATAAAAGTTTCAATTTTGAAATATTTCAAAGTGAAAATTTCATGTGAAATATTTCATACTCATAACCCTATGTATAATATAGAATCCAGGCAATTTTACTAGTGGGGGTTACTAGTTATTAAATATTTCTGATGCACAACATAAAAGTTTATTAGCTGTAGATTTATTATTATATGTAGATATCTAACTGTTTGTGGCAATTTACCTTTCTTTACCAATGCTTTTTTTTTATAATTAATAAATGGTGTTTTAATAAGTCACTGGTCCTGTATTGTGTGAATAAACTAATTCTAACTTTTTGTATTGATTGTATAGTTTATATACTGTGATTTATATTTTTAGAATTACTAAATGAGTCATCTCAGCCATCTTACAGTGAGCCTTGTAGTTCTAATTCTACATCCACAACAATGAAATCAAATATCATTCTAAATCCACCTTCACTTACAATTTCAACACCGTCACAATCAACAATATCACCAACGTTGACACCAAATTATTCTTGTTCGTACATTTAAAGCCAGACGCATCATGGTTCGAAAAATACGAAAATATGAAAAAAGATCAATTCAATACATAAAGTATTAAACTAAACAAAAGGTGAGTTAAAAAATATTTATTTATTTAAAAAATTGTTGACCTAAAAATTGATATCATTCAGACTTGATAAATTGGAAAAAAGAGAACATGAAATGTTAGAAGTTCAAAAGCAACTTGTTGACAAATTAAACACAGCCAATGACATTGAAATTCAAAAGTTGGACATGTTTAAAAAAATGTTTAAGATTGATTGATGAAATAGTAATTCAAAATAATATACCTATGCTCTGTTGTATTTTTAATTGTAATAAAAGTAACTAACTATGTTTAACACACAATTATAATAATGAAGTAGATTTGTTTGTTATTTATGTATAATTTTAGTTTGAACAGAATATTATATAATTTTTTATTATTTTTATTTTTTATTTTATACCTAAGTTTAAGAAAGCTTAAGTGAACTAAAGGAAACAATGTGATATTATTATAATGAAGTCAATAATTTATGTTTGTTATTTATTATTTAAATTAGTTAAATAATTTTGTTTTATATTAAAGTTTAACTATTCAAAAGGAAATTGAAATTTTATACATATATATATATATATATATATAATATATTATGTGTAATAAAGTCAAAACAATAATATGTACTCGTATATTTGACATTTTGTTTATTTACAATATCTGCTAAAAATATTCAATAGTGAAAATAGAAAAGTAATAAATATATATTTAAATGTGATCTTGTAGTAGCAATGCATTGCAAATTGTATTACGCTTTAATACTCCGCTTCTAGTCCCATCTTCATGTAGATCACCTCCTATCTCTATTTCAGACACATATGGATCGGCATCAAAGTCATCTCCAGTTGTCATACAAATATTGTGTAGACAACATGCAGCGGTGATAATCTTAGCACAGTACGATTTATGGTATACATCCATATTATGTCTATATTAATTAATAAAATGCTTAGAATTAATGATATGCTAGAAAAAAAACAAATTTCTTAATGGCTTATGTACTTTAATTTTCGAAATCTTCCAATAAGTTTTCCAAAAGCTTGTTCGACGACCACACGTGAACTGCTTAAAATCTTATTAAAATTCTTTTGATTTTGTGTTAGGTGACCGTTATCCTTATATGGCACCATAATTTTTTCGGTTAATGGATATGCTCCATCGCCTAAAATATAGCAATTGGGGGGGAGTATAGAGCCATGATTTTCTAAAATATTTTGCCCTATTGTGCTTTTTCGAAACTCTCTGAGACGAGCCAGGCCAACCGGCAAAAACATCTATGAAGATTTGGTCTGCATTTACGATTCCCTGGTAACGAGACGAAATGACCTATGTCATATTTCTGCAAATAGTATAACAAAATTCGCGGACGACGCGCCACTCGCTAACAACTTCATAATTACTACGCGCGTTGTTCTCGACATTGATTGTATAAAATCGCACTAGATGTCGCGGTACGCGCCTGCTTCTTTGCACGGTGCGTACCAGCGACATTAAAGTACCAAAGGCCGCAACTTATCAACTAAACTAATCACGCCCCAAGTTAAAAGTCATCTGAGGATTCACTTGACCACGTCATGAGACCGTCCCCCGAAAATGTACCAACAAATACTATCAAAATATAACACACAAAAATCGTAACTCTCAAAAGCCGAAGCAGCCGGGGTATGTAGTAAATAGACCCCGGCGAGCCAGCCAAATCGTATCGTATCGTATCGTTCCAGTCCTACAGCTTTGTCGTGTCTGGTGTTCACCGTCCAAACGGGAGCACAAACAGCACGACTAGCTTCAGTTTCCGCCGCCGCTTCTTACTTGCCGTATCTGGTGTTCACCGTCCAAACGGGAGCACAAACAGTACGGACAGTATTGTCGTTTTACCGCCGCCGCCGAACGCAGTTTTCCGCCGCCGCCGTTTTTACTTGCCGTATCTGGTGTTCATCGTTTACTCGGGAGCACAAACAGTACGGACATTGCCAATTAATAAATATTGACACCCCGATCGAGCAGCAGTGTTACAGTGCCGCCGATCGAGTCGCCGTGTTGCATTGACGATTATTAACTTTCGCACGCGCGAACTCGCAGTATAATTGTTGATAATATCGTAATCAACAATTCTACCTACTCTGCCGTTACGTTACACACGTTAAGTTCATATCGTTCAAATATTAACATTTAATCGTCATTCAACATCATCACAGTTACTTCACGCAACAACCAGTCAAGGGACACGAGAACCGACCACCAGTATCTACCCGACAACATTCGTGAGTCTATTCAGATCATTTTCATATTGTAAAATCAATCCTTGTTATATGTATTTTTAATTGTACATTGCTTTATGCAATTAAATAATTTAAAAAACAAAATATTGTTAAAATACCTAACACAATACGAGTAATAAAACAAAAAAAGTTAATGAGGTAATAACTCAATTCAAAGAAAATTACACTTGTTATTATTTACATTACACCCTGAAATAAACATATCATTATAAAAATTATTTTAATTCATAAGAGGAATGGGAAAATTTGGATAGAAAAGCAATATTATGTTAAATGTATTTAAATGCATTTTTTTTATTTATAAAAATTTATAAAAACCTGAAGCAATACTGATGGAACTTGTTTACAGTTGTAAAACATATTCCTATCTAATTTTGGCATCACATTTCTCTTCTCCCAAGGTGCTAATATGGCAATATGGCAGCCATCAACAGCTCAAATAACATTTGGAAAAGAAGTTTGCCTTAAGGCATTGAATTTTTCCATAGTTTCTATTGCCCTTTGACCGCTTGGCCATTGTATAAAAACTCTATTAAGGGTATTTAATTGTAGCAAACAATTTATAATAATCCCATGACTGGTGCTATCAGATAGATTAAATCGATTTGCTATTTGTCTAAAAATAAATAATTTAACTTCTTATTTCATTAATTTAATCTTTTTAGATGTGTTCATTTATACTAACCGATGTGTTTCACAATTAGCCATATACCATGTAAACACCAGTATTTATTTTTCAATGGAACATTTGAACTTTGAATTTGACAATAAAGGACCTAAATTGAAAATTAAAATCTAAAAATAAAACTATACATTATAGGTACTTAGTATAACTTATAAAATAAAAATATGAATAAATTAAACAGGCATTAGTTATAATATATATATAATGTGTAACCTCAATACTCTCTTTTGTCAAACGAAAATGAATTTTGAAGTCCTTGTCTGTCATGTCCAATACAGTTACTTCGGTAAAGTTTTTTATTTTACTTCTAACTTGTCTCTCAAATCTAATAAACACATTCATTTCATCGTCGTCATCGTTGTCATCATTTAAATTCGATGTAATAATGTCTAAAAAAAATATAACGGAGTTACTTTTAAGTACACATATATATAGAATAGGTCATTCATTTCTAAAAATATTAGTAAGTATTGAAAATAAATGTTCTAATTTGGGTCTAAACTAAAGGAAAAATATATCTTGTAAAAATACTTACCGAAAAGTGTTCTTTTATGCGTAGGAAATCCTTGTACAATGTAAGAACTAAGTTTATTTTTATTTAACAAAAAATCTTTAAGTAATTGGAGTTTTAAAGAATCCAATTCTTTATGAGTACCCATTTTAAGTAATTTAAAAAAATAAAAAACAGAAAAAGAAGACTCGAATTAATAATTAATAATTTCAACCATTGATAATTATAGAAGATTATCTAAGATTTCAACTATTTCATAGAGTAATATTACCCTATGTTTCAACCATTGTAATTTGTAACATTCAAAATGCGCGGGAACGACAGTATGTGATAATTTGATTTGGAGGGGGCATCCCGATCATTACAACGAATTTCTAGTGTAATCGGTATAAAATAATCAGTATCATAATAGTGAATCGGTAACCTTAAACCAGCATCGATATTACACACCGGTTTGGGTGAACGAATTTCTTGTGTACCTTGTGGTCACGCATGGATATGTAACACATGCATTGACAATCTCCAAACACCAACAACATGTCCACGATGTAGGATGGAAGATGTGTCGTTCCAGAGACTATTTATATAAAAATAAAATATTAGATTCAACCCATGTATTAACTAAAAACCAACTATTACTCAGAATACCTTAGGTCATACATATTCTATATTCATAATATATTATACATAATACTATAATGTAATTATTGGTATCTGTGAGTGTGTAAGATGATATCATGTATTTTTTCACACATAGGTAGGTAATAATATTATTAGTCAACACACAGGGTTGAATGTGTGTATCATAATTATATATGGTTTTTTTTATTTACACAATATAAATAGTAAATACTAATATTAGTAATACAAGAAGTCAATGTATTAACTAATAAATACAGAGTAAATAAATACTCTTCATCAATAAATTATGTATCCTATGTTTTTAGTTTATTTTAAGTTTTATTCTTAAGTATTTTATATTTATATTTTTTTTTTAATTGTATGCAGTTTTACAACTTGGAACACAGACACCCTACTATTTTTTACTTTTTTGCTACTCCGATTACGGGTGAAATAATGGTCGTACGTACTTCGACCACAAACCATTTTTGAATCCTCGTACATCAAAAGACCAGAATCTCGAGTTTTGTAGTGATTAAACGAAAACCCAAAATCCAAAATACACGTATCTAAGTTAGTACAAAAAACACACGAAAAATCATAACTCCCAAACCAAAAGTCGGATGACCTCAATCTCAGTATCCATCGATATGGCGCAAAGTAATCTATAACATCCGCCTATTAAAACGGCTCACCAGGGACGTATTCAGAAATTTGGCGCCCGGGTGCCAATGTTTTTCCGCCCCCCCCCTCCACAAAAAAAATTATTTGACTTTTTCTGTTTTAAAACTACCGAGAGCGTTGGAGCTTACTTTCCGGTGACAACCCGTTATCGTATCCTTTTTAGAACAAAAGTTAGTAAAAAAAAAAAAAAGTAGATTTCAAACTTTAAACATTATGTTATTTTTATAAATTAATCACATTTAAATATTTAATATAAAATAGGTTTAGTTATTATCAACTATAATTACAAAACAATAAATATTTAAAATGTAGGTACATATACTTTTTTCGAGCTTTCAAGGAACTAAACTCATTGATTATATCATCATAGTCTAAACCTTTTGTAATATCTGATTCGATGTTTAATATGGCGATACTGTTTAGTCGTTCATCAGTCAGCCTCAATCGCAAATAACTTTTAATTCGTTTTAGTGCACTAAACGAACGCTCTGAAGAGCAGTTAGACACAGGACAACATAGATACATTCTTAGAGCAATATTTACGTACGGGTATATGTCGTATAAAAATTCAAAATTAATTGTTTTAATGTTTTCTACACTTTGATAAGTCACTAATAAGCGATAACTGTATATAATAACTGATAAGTGTTGTCATATTATTGATAAAAATTATTATTTTTTAATTATTATATTATTGATAAAAAAAAAAAAAAACTAATTTATGTTATTTTTCATTTTCATTTTCATTAACAGAAGATGGGTTATGTAAAAATCTGATGCCGCCCCTATAAAAATGCCGCCCGGGGCGATCGCCTCCTCTAGCCCCCCCCTAAATACGTCACTGCGGCTCACCACGCCCAAAAACTAAGTATCCGAGCCGAAAAACGTAAATTTTGAACTTTTGTAGCCCCAAAAAACGGAGAAAAACAGCTCCTATGGTCTCGACACAAGATGCTGAATTTGATCACCGATCTCCAAACTATAAAAATGTCGAGTTTCAGAAACGTCGTACAAAAACTAATCCTTTTCCAAAATACACCTGGAGCGAGGTCAAGAACCTCCCGGAGTCGGGAGTATGTTTTAGAAGAGCCTAAACCGAAACTTTTAGTAACTTTAAAGTATAATATTATTTTATGTGAACGTCATCTACAACTTATAAATGATTTATTGAACTTTAAAAACTATTACATATTTACTTACGTTTGTTCGTATTTGGTAAGTACGCCAGCAGCATACAACATTCTATGCCAGTAGTTTTCCTAGAAGTTAGTAGAGTGTTAAACATGAACATTTGTTTACAGTGGCGTACGCAGGATTTTTCAATGGGGGGGGAGTGTTCTTGAAAATGAATTACAATTTTATTTTTATTTTGTCTAGTATAATAATTTCAGATGTTTATTTGAGGTATTTTAAAATGTTTGTAACTTCCCAACTTTTCTGGTAGAAAAAATGTTCTGATCATAAAATTCGATGCCCGATGTATGTTTTTGGATACAAATTGGTCTAGTTGGTACTTTTAGGAGTTTGAAATTGAAAATGCTCAGTGCTTTTTAAAATAATTGGAGAAAAAAATTAAATTTATTAAAACTGTTTGGTAACCAACTTGGTTATACCGTCCTCAGACCTCAGTTCCTCACTTTTAATATATTTGGATAATTAAAATTTTTTTTTCTATAAATGTATGTTAATAAAAATTTTTTTATCCGGTCAAAAAACTTAAAAATGTATTACGTAAGTTTTTATTATAGCTAAAATATTAACGACACATATGCATCATGGTTATTTTTTATAAGCATTCAAAGTCCAAATGTCGTAAAAACCACAGCTAATTTTTACAGAACTTATAGAGTATTAAATGTGTAGAGCTAATGCTATAGACAATATAATACAAGGTCTTTCATATAAGTTGTTCATATTTTTACCGAAAAATTACAGATAATTTTAGGAAAATTGGTATGTAAATACAATATTTTTTTCAAAAATGAATTCATTCTGGTAAGACATAATATATGAAATTTACGTCTTGCTTACTATGGTTGACAGTTGAAACTTGATAAATATTTTTTGAAAAATTAATAATAATACGGCAATGGGGGGGGGGGAGGCTTCAGCCCGTTAGCCCCCCCCCCATTTGGACGCCACTGTTTGTTTATATAATTGATGGACTTTAAATTTCAATCATCAAAGTTAATGATATTATATATACGTCTCAAAAATGATTTTAATTAAATGTATTTTGTTATAATACTATAATATGACATGTCTTGAAATATACTAACGCTGGACAATAGGTATACACGTATAGCAAATTAGTAAAATGTGACAGATATATACATGTATTTATAATATTAGGAATGTACTCTATTCAGAACAATTGTGGTCGTCTGTTGGATGAAATTAATCCCACATAAGAGAACGGGAAATGGTGAATTCTAAATTCCATGGATAAAGAATTTTATGGAGATTCTATTTAAATGGTCGGTGTAACGAATTTAAAAAAAATCAAAAATAAACGATAAAAAATCATACAAAATTCGTTTACTCAAATAATCAAAGATTTTAAATTTTCAAAACGAATTATTAATTAGTGGTTCAGGTTTTAGATGGTTACCACTTAAAATATCAGCAAACAATAATGTGAGGTTATGCTCAATTCTTATGTAAATAATTGTGTTCTTATCTTCACTGGTCTCATCATAGATAAAGATCTTTATACAAATAGTCTTATACAGTTATACACTTTATTACATTAAGTCCATATCTAGGAACCTGACCAGATATTTTTCCCTTAAATTGAATTAAGAGGTTTTCACCATCGTTTTTAAGGGGTTTAAGATAGGCAGTTTACAAAACTTCCGAATATATACGGAATAATATGTTCCGTCAAAATATGGATTTCGAAATTTGTTTGATTCCCGGGCATATACGTTCCGGGGATATATGGTTTCCAAATTTTTATATTCCGGAAATATCTGTTCCGGAAAAATACAGTTTTCAACTTTCGGATTCCGGCAATATACGTTCCTGATAAATACATTCCGGTGACATACGGTCCGTGTAAATACGTTCCGGGAAAATACGTTCCGGGCAAATACGGTTTTCGAATTTTAGATTCCGGGTATATACGTTCCGGATGAATACGGATTTGATTCCGGATACATACGGTCCGGATAAATACGTTCCGGACAAATACGATTTAGTGATTTTGGATTCCGGCGATATACGGTCCGGACAAATATTTTCCGGGATTTATACGTTCCCCCAATTTATTTTCCGGAATTTTACGGCCTTCCCATTGGATATTCACTCGATTACTCATGCAGCGATTTCCTTATTTTGTTGCAATTCAAAAACGAACAACTGTAGATACATGAAAATTTCACTGAATGTTTAAATTAGCATTTTCTATACACCGTACAATTTTGAAAATATTTTGACTCTTTTTGAGCTGTTTATGGACATTTACAGCTTTCAATTTTTTTTAGTTTTTTTTTCTATAAATATCAATAAAGTTTTTCCTGTTGGGCCAAAAAGTGTAAAAATTTAATACAAGGCTCCTGATATATTGTTACAATAGCAGTTGAAAAATATTAAAAATACATAGGCACAGTTTTTTTTTATAACCATTTAAAGATCAAATTTTGACAAAATTTATCAAAATCTCGAAAATTATCAATCATTGTAATTAATAAATTATAAAATGTTCAGTTTTTATAGCTAAGGATTACAAATTCAACACAAAGGTTCTCATAAATAGTTCATACTATAACCAAAAAATCTAAAAAATATATGAACACACTTATTTTTTACAGACATTTTAAATTCAAATTTGGACGAAATTACATATTAAAAAACCTAGAAAAACTATTTTAGTTATTTTGTTGTGATTGAATAATATTAGTCGTGGGTACTTGTAACTTCTAAAGTGTACTATTATATATCTATGATAGTATCACGGTTTTTGTTGATGTATAACGCGTTATAAGTATCTAATGGATATTGTGATATGATTAATTTGGAATTTATTATTATAGGTACCTACCTATTACAGGTCAATTTTTTTTTTATACCATAGATATGTATATAATATGTCTTATACATAGACTGACATACCGTCACCGCTCAGAATCGTTTTTCTTATACAATGATATTATATCATTGAATTCCAATTTAATACCATCCATTATACAGTGACCCACTTGTAACCTACTGTACAGCAGAGCGACACCCACTTGCCCACCTTTTTTATACTTGTATGAACTCTTTGACAAAATATCTAAGTTATTAAGGAGGTCGATTTTAAATTTTCAATTTTAAAGGACCTTAAAATGACGATTTTTTTTTCAAAAATCCCATGAAATAATTGCATTACATTTGTATTTATTTTGGGCACATCTAATTTTAAATCAAAAAAGTGATTCCTAAAGAGCATAGTCTAGAAGTTTATAAATTCAACCATATTTTCAAAATTACAATCGGACTTCAGGAAGTATGTTTAATTTACTACCGCTTTTAGTAGTTTTTATAGCATTGCAAACATGAATATATTTTATTTTTCGTAAAGTATTAACATGTGCAATAGTTTATTTCGGCGGCGCGGCGGCTCGCGGCTGCCGACGGGCCGTGATAGATTCTCGGAAAGTCGGAAACAATTATTTCATGGGATTTTAGAAAAAAAAATCGTTATTTTAAGGTCCTTTAAAATTGAAAATGAGGGAGGACATATTGTGTGATATTAAAGTATTGCTATATGTGCTTACATTTTGGTGAAAACGTTTGTACATTTTTGTAGCTAGAGAAGGGCAATTTTAGATGGCGAAAAGTACTATTTTTAAAACAAAAAAATTATTGGATTTCTTATCAGTAATTTATCTTCACAATATTCAGACGCTAAAAATGGAATTTCAAAAGAATTAATTAACATACACCCGACTTATAGAGCTTTTTGTATAAAATATATTATACAGAGTGTATCTTATGTCATTGTACGCGAGGGTTCTTAACGATTATGGATCGATGACATAGAATTCGTTAAAACAAATAAATACGTGTTTCTTTATTTTAACAGGCAATTTTTTTATAGCAATTTAAAATTTTTTAAACACTCAGGTGTACCAACAGCAAAATCAATTTTATTTTTTCATATGGTAACTACTTTATTTTTTTATGCATTATGTTAAACCTTTTTTTCTGAGAATTTTGATAATCAAATCATCAATTTTGGTTCGCTAGTTTATTGACTAGTGTCCTCTAAAGTTTAGTAAAATATGCATTAATACTTTTAATTGAAATAAATGGTACAGGTTTAATTTACAAGAAACAATCTTATATCCATTTTTATATTATTTAATTTTCTCACTTAAAACGATAAAAATGTATTTTTATTTAAACCTACAGTTATACTTTTCTACATGTAATAATTACATATTCATTTATTTTTTTAGTTTTTGCTATATTATATTATTGAAATAAATATTATGTGTTTTAATGGTTTTTGAACTTTGGAGGAATAACACTTAAATTTACCAACTATTCAATGTATACAATATATTGTAAAAGAAATTGATAGCTGTTTAAAAATATAAAAATATTTTGCATTCATATTGAACAGTTATTTACAAAAATAATTTTCTTTAATTTAACGTTAAAAGTTGATTGAGCACCAAAATCGTGTTTTTAAAATTTTCCCTACGTTATATTTAAAATGTTACTGTAAGTAGATATGTACTTGGTAAATAATAATATGTATTGGAATGAATTACGAAACAAATTCTACAGATGATATTGCACACTTTGATAAGGATAAAAGTGATGATGGTTTTTTTGATAATATATACAAGGACACTGTTTTCAATAATACATCAAACTTAGAATGAACAAACTACTAATTACTAACAACAATTACTAATAATTACATTATTTATTATAGAATTTTAAAAAAATTATCTATTTTCATCTAGATAAATGTTTATGTATTTTTGAAAAGCATATAATTGTATCTGTAGTATATACCAATTTAAAATAATTTAATAAACCAAAACTAATACCATATAGAAAATCAAAAGTATAAATACGTTTTATAAAAACGAAAATTAAATAATGTCAGCTATAATAAAAGAAAAAAATTAAATACATAAATGTACACGCATCATGAATCATGATTCACGAACACAATTATAATATAGTAAATACAAGTTTCCTTTTCTTACTATTGTTCCGTAGTCCGCATGCATTTCGGCCTTCGGGCAGTGGTTAAAGTGAGGGGGGACGGAGGGGGACGGAGTCCCCCTTCTTATTTACGGTAAGATTATGCGTCCCCTTTAATTTAAGTCTCCAAAGTCCGGGGGGACGCTACCAAATTTTAGTAATGTATAAAATAGCTCACTCATCCACACACACACATCGATTATTCACCGAATTTAAACGTATTTTATTTCGCGTCAATAATCTCCATGTTTCTAATGATAGGGGCGCGTGCAATATGTGATTATTAAATAATAAATTATAGTGACTAATATAGTGTATAGTGGTGTCTAATTATAGATACACGGTCGCTCGTGTAGATAGCCTGATAACACGTACTCGGGCTATACGTAGAAACATACGAACGCCAGAACGTGGGAATACCGTTTAGCGAGACACACAATAGTCAATAATATAACATAAATGATAAATCATAATATTCATAATACTATTGATATTTATTATTTAATGCTCTATTATTGATATGATATTGAGAATGGTTGTGATAGTGTGATTAACGATTTTAATGAGTAATGACCAATAAATAATTTTATTAGTTAATACTTACCATCAGTTGACAGTTGGTAAGTTTTCATTTTTTTGATTTTGGTGTTACCTATAGTGTACTTTTTACAAGTTATTACGATATAATATAGTAGGTAAGTTAATAAGTTTTAATAATTTATATTTTTATTGAAGATCTTTATAATTAAAATAAATATATTCCAAACCACATTTATATTCTAAATTAATTTCATTGGTAAGTTTGTTAATTGTTATTGAGTTACCTAGTTTTTAATTTATACAGAATTGTATCATGGCTGGCCTACTAAAATACAAATTTACCAAGATCAAAAAGACTGATGGTAGTGAGAATGTTGCACAAATTATTCAAAGTCCATGTACAGAAAATACGGTCTCTTCTGTCAAAAAATATGTCGCTGAAATACCAATAATACCAGACTCTAAATCAGAGTTTCCTGAATGCTGGGATTTTAAGCAGGTTGTTCGAGCACCATCGACATTTGAAATTGTACGTTACTACGCGCCACTTTGGCCCGTGAAGTTGCCAGCACTGCTTACAGCTGACGAGACTAGTCGGTTGCCCGTTAGGCCGTTGATGTTCGGCCGGCGAGACTCCGTCGCCATCACTTCTTCTGTTTTTCGTTCCGAATTGGTTTGTTCGAGTAGTTCATCCCGACTTTAGTTTGAACGAGCAAAACCACGTTTTGGTACAAACGAAAAGTAAGTCTTCGATGATTTTGTTTTTGTATCCGTTCGCATCCGTCTCGCACCCAAAAGCGAGACACGGCAGATCAGCCATACAGCAGCTCAGCTACCCCGACGGCAGTTCGGCCATACTTGCAGTCAGTTACACCGACGGTCACACCGACCACATAGCAGTTCAGCTACCCAGACGGCAGATCAGCTCAGCAGACACCAGCCTGTTCCGGAGTGGTTCAATGATTGTACCCCCTTTGTCATTAATTATTTACATTGTGTCACCATAATATAAACCAATATTATAGCAATATAATTAAAGGTCTATTTATTTTAGAAACTTGTTGTGTTCACCTGGGAACGTCCAGTTGAGGTGAGGCTGCCGGCGTTAACTTAGCATTAGTACGCACGTGGCCAACATTTGGTAGCAGAGCGTGGTTGAATAAGGATCTTCTCTTCTGGCTGTTACTTGGTGAGCTTACCTCTGTTTATTATATTAAGGTGTTACTCCCTCCCATTGTAGTGTTATGATTATGACTATCGGTGGGTAACAGTAGCATTTAGTGTCAGCAGTCCGTTGATCCACGGACGTGGCATCTTATAACGTTGTTGAACGTGGATTACTATAACTACTGTAATTGGTGGTTAAATAATTGTCAACGCTTTTTATGCCATTGGCCGTTAGTACTGTGGTTGAAGTGTCAACAGTTATGTGTATATTCTTATAACTATTAGGCACCTGTTAATTATTAGGCTGTTGCATTTAATTAATTAATATATTAAAGACTGATCAGTTTAAATATTTTATACCTCAGTATTGTTAGTTTAGTACCTTAGTAGGTTTTCTCTTAACATTAATAATTAGGATTTGTTATTTATACCTATTATATTAGTGTTATTAACTTAATATTTTTATTTGGATCACACATTTTATTGTTGACCTAACAAGGTTATTATGTTTTGTTAAATTTAAACTGGTTAAAATTTCCTTGTTATTACTATTGGTATTATTACTACCCAGTACTATTGTAGGTAGCTACCACATTATTTTATTGTTTATTAGTAGTAATTTGGTATGTTATGTGAACCTTACATGATCTCTTGTTCTATTAGTTGATTATTATAATTATATTATCTACTATTCTATTGTGGGTACCAGTTAGTTGAATTGGTATTCTTTAAATTTATGTTAATTAAGTACTGATCATTATTGACGGTAGATAAATAATTGGTTAGGATTGGAATTGCTGATATATGTGCAATCACACTGGACTGTTATCTCTAGCATACCACTTATATTAGTTCTAAATTAATTTGTGTTACTTTATGCTCATCGGGTCGTTGTGTTAGCTCCCTGTAGGTGTGTGCAGTTGTTATCTTGCCACCATGTCAGACGAAGAGATCAAGACTCGCAACATAAGACTGAAACAGCGTGCTACAGCTAAGCGAGACCTTGCTGCAAGTCATATTCGTCGCCTACATGCCTCAACAACAGCAGCAGGAAATGATCCAACAGCAAGGAGTCTAGTTATGACAGCAGTTCAGGACCTGAATAATTGGTGGTCACAATACTCAGTAGAAAGTGATGCGTTATTGAACGTTATGGTTGAGTTGGACGAAATAGATCAATTTTCTCCAGATGCTGATGCTGCTGTCTACGCCTTAGTGGTAGAAATCAAATCAACTGCCAATAGTTATGAGCAGGAAGCCTCAAAGTCATCTAAAGACTCTCAACCAGTTACACAGATCAGTGATACGGCATTAATAGCAAATCCAGCTGAAGATCATCAGTCGGTTACACAAACTAGTAACGCAGCCATACTTCCAAAGACAGTCTCCGTCATGGAAACACAGTCGTCATCTCGTGTGAGTGGTCCTCCGTCTTCAGATGCCTCCTTCCGTCCTCAAATATCAATGCGCCTTCCGGAAATCCCTCTGCCAAAATTTGACGGTGATCTCCGTTCGTGGCCAGACTTCCGGGACCGCTTTGTAGATCTTGTAATCCGCAACACGGACATTGATTCAGACAGCACCAGATTTTACTATTTACTTGGGTGCCTTCAAGCTGATGCGGGTGAAGTACTAAAAGGGATTCCGGTGACCAAAGACACCTTCCAGTTGGCTTGGAACACGTTAGTAAAGTCATACGATAAACCAAGAAAACTGGCCTCGTCAATCATTGAGGGTTTTTTGGTTGCTCCCGTATCCACTTCAGAATCGCTGGTGGATCTCAAACGTTTCTTGAGTGTATTTGATGAAGGACTAGCAATATTGGAATCGTTGCACTTGCCAGACCTGTGTTCGTTCCTGCTGTTTACCATTGCTTCAAAATCCCTTCCAACTCATACGCGTCGCTTGTTTGAATCAGATAATTCTTCGGAGTACCCATCAGTGGACAGTGTACTGGAATTTGTAAAGAATAGGGTGAGAGTGCTAGAAAATGCTGGTGGTACTTCAGGGCCAGGGAAGTCGTTTGGTGGTAGCAACAAGAAACCTAATCCAGGTCCAATGAAGCATTACAATCGCCCATCGACCAGCCAGACAGCATTGGTTTCATCTGTAAAGACCCAGAAACCTAAAGCTACTGAATCCGACAGGTGTCGGTGCTGTGGGGGAGCTCATGCATTGAAAGACTGTGCAAAATTTTTGGGATTATCGGTAGATGATCGATACCAAATTGTGTGCTCTCACAGACTATGCTTGGTATGCTTTGAAAGTGGTCATATGTCATATAAATGCAAGTCATCCTGTAGTGTGTGCAAACGTCGTCATCATGGGCTATTGCATAAGGACTCTTCTACTTCTGATCCGTCGTCCAAGGTCCCTAAAGTGGCTATGTTTGTCAGCCATCAAAATCAACTGCCATCTGTAGTACTAGCAACTGCACTACTTCATGTCCAAGATGTGGCTGGAAGTCCACAGACGGTTCGGGCCTTGATTGATGGCGGCTCTCAGATCAGTGCCATATCTGCAAATTGTTGTCAACGACTAGGTCTACGAGCTGCAAAATGGACGTTACCAGTCACTGGGTTATCAGAGTTACCTGTGCCAAGCGTTTTGGGTATTGTAGATCTACATATCCAACCTCGGGATTCAAGTCAATCTTCAATGCCTGTAAGAGCTTGGGTACTATCTTCCATAACTTCAGATATGCCCACCTCAAAACTACCGTCAACGGTTCGGGAAAGATGTGGAAGTTTGTCATTAGCTGATCCGCTATTTGATGTCCCGGCTCCGGTCGAAATTTTGTTGGGTGCAGACATATACCCTATGGTCTGGTCTCACGAAACTGTCTCGTTAGGTCATGGATATCCAACTGCGTTCAATTCCATTTTCGGTTGGGCAATAGTAGGTCCACTTCAATACATAAAGGCTCCAAATCCTAGGGCTCTACCTGTTCAGATATCTTCATCAGTTGAATCCCTAATGGAAAGATTTTGGAACGTTGAGGAACCGGAAGCTGCTCCGCCCGTGTTCACTCAAGAGGGTCAGTGTGAAGAAATCTTTCTGTCAGAGATGTACAAGAATAGTAAAGGACAGTACATGGTCCCATTGCCGTTCCGTGATGGTCAACCTAGTTCTTTTCCTGGAATGCGACAAATTGCAGTTAATCGTCTGTTACAATTGGAGCGCAAACTATCTCGAGACCCTGTGTTGTATGATAACTACAGAAAGTTCATGGTGGAATATGAGTCGTTAGGACACATGTCGGAGGCAGATTCATCAGGAGTCTACTACATCCCTCACCATGCTGTTTACAAGGCCGAAGGGGAAAATATGAAATTAAGAGTGGTTTTTGACGCCTCTGCTCGTTGCAGATCCGGCTCCTCACTGAATGAGCGTCTCCATGTTGGCCCAAAGTTACAGCAAGACATAGTGGATGTCCTAACTGGCTTTAGAGTCCATACCGTCGCGTTTACCACAGATATCTGTAAAATGTACCGCCAGATTTGGGTGCTGGAAAAGTACCGCGGATACCAGCATATACTGTGGAGAAATTCTCCACAGCTCCAGATCCGGGAGTACACGTTGAATACGGTGACGTATGGGGTAAACAGTGCTCCTTATTTAGCGCTTCGGGTCCTTCGTCATATAGCTGATCATGATTGTGAGGAGGTCCCTGAAGTTAGTAAGGCGCTCAAATCCCAGACATACATGGACGACATCTGTGTTGGGGCACCATCGTTGGAATGTGCTTTATCGTTGAAGTCTGATTTAATCAAAACGTTATCCAGATCGGGATTAATGTTAAAAAAATGGTCTAGCAATGAACCGCGGTTGCTATCAGGTCTCCCGCTGGAAGACTTAGCAGGTGATCCCCTCACATTTGACCGTGGTGACGGCATTCCTGTGCTAGGTATGCAATGGCGTCCAACAGCTGATCATTTCGCATACGATATTACCGCAATCAAGTCAGTTTTGTCCAAACGTGGGGTCCTATCGGTAATCGCGAGGATCTTTGACCCGTTAGGGTTTCTATCGCCTGTTATTTTCCATGCCAAGTGTATTATGCAACGATTATGGTCTGCTCAAACTTCCTGGGATGAGCCATTACCGCCAGTCATTGCTAAGGAATGGCAACAATTCATGGACATGCTAGGTTGGCTGGCAGAGATCCGCATTCCACGTTGTATTGGTGGTTCCACCGGGATAGAATACTCGTTATGCGGTTTTTGCGATGCCTCTGAAAGAGGTTATGCTGCAGTTTTGTACCTTCGTGTGACTGATCCGTCTCAGAAGGTAAACGTGTACTTGCTCGGAGCAAAAACCAAACTGGCACCTTTAAAAACGACCACGATACCCAGATTGGAGTTATGTGGAGCTGTTTTGTTGGCTTCCTGGTTATCACGTATGCATCGGATACTTGAAGCGCATATGAAGATATCAGGTGTTTATGCTTGGTCGGATTCAACCATAGTCCTTTCTTGGTTACTAAATCCTCACGTTGCCTTGAAGGTCTTTGTGTCTAATCGCGTCCACCATATCAAGACTTTGCTTCCAGTCTGCAAGTGGGCTCATGTCAGATCTGAAGAAAACCCGGCTGATTGTGCGTCACGGGGACTGACTCCGGCAGAAATTGTAAACGCTCAGCTGTATTGGTCCGGTCCAGAATTTTTAAGATTCCCAGTCGATCATTGGGACCTCCATCCAACTACCATACCAGGTGACCAGCTACCGGAAGTCCACCCAGTATCCCTGGTGATTACGACACCAATAAGGAAAGGAGAGTGGTTTACGCGGTTTTCATCATACAGCATCATGATTCGTGTAATAGCACGACTGCGTCGATTCATTTTAAGATGTAGACGGCAAGAAACTGTTTCTGGTCATTTGACACGTTCAGAGCTAGATGAGGCCTTGTACGTGGCAGTCAAATGTACTCAGGAATGCATGTTGAGTTCTCTACTTCGGGAATTGTCAAGTGGCAGCTCGGTCTCTTCAAGGGTGTATGCTAAACTTAGCCCCTTTATCGATGAATTTGGTGTTATTCGAGTGGGTGGTCGGCTGCAGAATGCCATGTGCTCTTGGGATCGCAAGCACCCAATACTATTGCCTAAAGAATCGCATTTATCCGCGTTGATTGCACGCCATTGGCACTTAAGTGCATGTCATGCCCGATCAAGGCTCCTTATCACTTTAATCAATAGTCGTTTCTGGATTATGGGCGTACGCCGGGTGGCCTATAAGGCTATCAAGTCCTGCATTACTTGTGTAAGGTTGGATGCAGTGAATCCTCAACCAAAAATGGCTGATCTGCCTGTATCAAGAGTACAAGCCTGTCGAGCATTCACAGCAGTGGGAATTGACTACGCGGGACCATTATCAATGAGAGAAACAAAGTTACGAAAAGCTCGCGAATACAAGGTTTACATAGCCTTATTTGTTTGTATGAGTACAAAGGCTATTCATCTTGAAGTTGTACTTGACCTATCAACTGATGCCTTCTTAGCGGCACTGGACAGATTTGTTGCCCGGCGAGGTGTGCCAACATCCATCCACTCGGATTGTGGGACAAACTTTGTTGGGGCTGCTCGCAAGCTGAAAGAGTTGATCAACTCGCCCTCGAGTAGGGATCAATGTTCCAGTCGTCTGATGTGTCACTGGAACTTTAACCCGCCTAGTGCACCCCACTTTGGAGGACTTTGGGAGGCTGCGGTAAAGTCTACCAAATCATTGCTGACAAGGTCATTGGGGGCACAGACTTGGACTTTGGAAGAGTTTTCTACAATCCTATGTCGGGTTGAAGCTGCGCTGAACTCCAGACCGTTAACTCCTGTGACCCCAGATCCGGAGGACTTGGACTGTTTGACCCCAGGCCATTTTTTGATTGGTCAACCATTGATGTCAGTTCCTGAGGAGGAACTCTGTGGGAAGCCAATGAATCTACAGCGACGTTGGAAGCTCCTTCAGCAAACGTTTCAGACTTTTTGGCGAAGATGGTCGTCAGAATACCTGAATACTCTGCAAGCTAGGAGTCGCTGGTTGTCAAGCCAAGAAAATATGAAGGTAGGAGACATGGTGGTCATAAAAGATGGCACTGCACCCCCACTTCTGTGGCGTTTGGGGCGTATCCTTGAGGTGATGCCTAGTAAGGATGGGGTGGTTAGAGTCGCTCGGGTTCTAACAAAAGGTGGTTCCTTAGTCAGACCTGTAGTGAAACTAGTACTGCTGCCAACCGATCAGTCATAATATATTTTGTTTATTCCCTTTCCTTTGACACCTTAATAATAATTGATGTGTGCTCACCGGGAACAGCAGATCAGTTGTATCCATTAAAAAAAAAAAAAAAAAAAAAAAGGGGTGTGTGGAGAGAGAATTGTTTTGGGGCCAGGCACCAAACCTCTTCAGACTGATTCTTAATATTTTTTAATAACTTATTTTATATGATGTTATAATTTAGTACAACTGTTGATCCACAGTTGTTTGTTTGTTTGTAACAATTTTTTTTTACATAATGTTATAATTAGTACAACTGTTGATCCACAGGTTGTTTGTTTATTTGTTTGTTCTTTAACAATTTATTTTATATGATGTTATAATTTAGGGCAGCTGTTGATCCACAGTTGTCTGTTTTTTTTTTTTGTTTAACTATACCATAATGTAATCCTCTGTGATATTGCTGAAATTTTGTAAGCTGTGATAAGTTGTAATTGTATGCCATGTAATGTGATAAACCTGTGATTCTACAGTTACCATAATATGTATATCAATCTCTTGTATAATAATTGGTTGTTGATGTATCTTCCCCCCTGTAACCACTCTGGGTAAGCGTGAAGAGTCAACATGTCAATCAATCATCTGTATCGCCCTGAAATTTCAAACTGCTCAAACCCATCGTAAATCCAGATCTGGGATTTCCAAGGGGGAGTATGTTCGAGCACCATCGACATTTGAAATTGTACGTTACTACGCGCCACTTTGGCCCGTGAAGTTGCCAGCACTGCTTACAGCTGACGAGACTAGTCGGTTGCCCGTTAGGCCGTTGATGTTCGGCCGGCGAGACTCCGTCGCCATCACTTCTTCTGTTTTTCGTTCCGAATTGGTTTGTTCGAGTAGTTCATCCCGACTTTAGTTTGAACGAGCAAAACCACGTTTTGGTACAAACGAAAAGTAAGTCTTCGATGATTTTGTTTTTGTATCCGTTCGCATCCGTCTCGCACCCAAAAGCGAGACACGGCAGATCAGCCATACAGCAGCTCAGCTACCCCGACGGCAGTTCGGCCATACTTGCAGTCAGTTACACCGACGGTCACACCGACCACATAGCAGTTCAGCTACCCAGACGGCAGATCAGCTCAGCAGACACCAGCCTGTTCCGGAGTGGTTCAATGATTGTACCCCCTTTGTCATTAATTATTTACATTGTGTCACCATAATATAAACCAATATTATAGCAATATAATTAAAGGTCTATTTATTTTAGAAACTTGTTGTGTTCACCTGGGAACGTCCAGTTGAGGTGAGGCTGCCGGCGTTAACTTAGCATTAGTACGCACGTGGCCAACACAGGTAGATATAAGTTATTTGATATGAATAGGGTAGAGGACTTATAGTAGTTTTAGCTCTAAAAAGTCACCAATTTATTTATTTATTTTGTATATTTAAGTGTAATACATTTAAGTATACAAAATAAATTAATAAATCTAATTAATTATGAATAAAACTTACTAATTGAATGTATGAACAATGAACTACTTACTTTATACAATATTGTTTAGGTTTTATAAATTTCAAAATTGTTGTTACTTTTACAAGTTATATATAATTATTTTATATTTAGTATTTAGCACCTAACACTAAATTAAAATTAATATATTTTTTAAAATTGTTAAGTAGGTATATAAAATATTTATTTTACAAATTCCTTTTATTATGTACAATTTAATATAGCAAATGATGAGTATTTGATAAAATATGGTATCAAGATATAAACATAATATAAAAATATCTAAACCTCTATCAGGATATTTAACATACCTTTTTTTTGCAATTAAAATTTTAAAATTTTAAGATATTAACTAAGTTTTGATATTAATTATTAGTATAGGTAATGTACCTATAGCCATTGATAAAATATAGGTACTATATATACTATAGCATATGAATACATTTAAATAAATATTATTATCAAACTGTTAGAATGTCTGTTCTATTTTTTTAGATTACTTATTTTACTAAAGAATATCCTTGGATTTATTTTAAAAATAAACATATTGGATGTAAGATCTGTAGAGATGTAAATCAAAATTTATTAAATCAAAAAGGATCACATGTGGCATCTGAATGGTCTAATGGAGAAGTTTATTCATCAGGTTCTACATTAGAAAAGAAAAAAACTAATTTAAGAAAAAAAATTTCTAAACACAAGAATTCTGCTGCTCATTTAAATGCACAAAAAGTTATATTTTTGTCTGAAAAAAAAGTTATTGATGAACATATTTCAATGTTGATGGTGACTGATCAAGAAAATACTGCAAGAATATTTCGCACAGCTTATTTAATAGCTAAAAATCAACGCCCTTATACAGATATGCCAAAACTTACAGATCTCCAAGAATTAAATGGACTTGATATGGGAAGAATACTTCAGACTAACGTATCATGTTCTAATATTATTGATCACTTGGCCTTAGAAATGAGAAGGAAGATTGCTATGGACATTGTGAAAAATAATAGAAAAATTTGTATTTTAGTTGATGAATCCACAACATTAAGTAAAAAATCTATGTTAGTTATATGTTTACGTTGTGCAGTTGGTGAACTTAATGAAGTATACACATTTTTGTTTGATATTGTTGAAGTATCAAATACTTCAGCTAAAACTATAAAAGATTCTATATTACAAGTATTGGAAAAATATGGTATGGACACTCATTTTTTGAAAAAAAATTTAATTTCTTTTGTAAGCGATGGAGCTTCAAACATGTTAGGCCGTAAAGCAGGAGTTGGTGTATTATTACAGAAAAGTTTTCCTCATATTATACTTTGGCATTGTTGTAATCACCGTCTAGAACTTGCTGTTGCGGATTGTTTAAAAGAAGTAAGTGGAATTAATCATTTCCAATCATTTATTGAAAAACTATACTCACTGTATCACATGTCACCAAAAAATATGAATGAGTTGAAAGAATGTGCTAATTCCATTGATCAACAGTTATTAAAAATAGGTAAAATATTTACAATTAGATGGGTAGCTTCAAGTCTTCGGACAATAAAAGCTGTTTGGAATAACTTTGAATCTCTTTTTCAACATTTTTCTAATGCAATAATGGATGATCAAAGGAGCTCTAAAGAAAAAGCAAAGTATGTTGGTTTGAAAAATACTTTAAAATCAATAGAATTTGTTCACAACCTTGGCATACTGTTTGATGCTCTGACAGAATTATCAGATTTGTCCATTCAGCTCCAAAAAAGAGATCTATCTCTTATGGCTGCTCATAAATTAATTGAACGGACCATTAGCGTTTTGGAATCTATGGCTAATAAAAATGGTGAAAAAACCAAAGAAGTAAATTCTGCTTGTGAACAAAAAGAATTTAAAGGCATTATATTAGAACATAAATATTCTGTGGTAAAAATTGAAATCGGCCAATTTTTTAGAAGTTTGTCTGACAATCTAAAACAAAGACTTTTTACTACACAATCGTCTCATGTATCAATTTTAGATAAAGCTGATCCTTATAAAGATTTATTTAATAATTTATTGATTGATTTAACCATGCTTTCTCCAGATAATTGGCCTGATAACTGTGATGTACAGTTTGGTGATATAAATGTAAGCCGTTTGTCTAAAATATTTCAAATTGATCAAAGAGCCAGTGTACGAGGATTTCGTGAATACAAAGTGTCTTATCCTTCAGTAAATACAGACATTGAACCATTAATGACCGCTGTAAAGACTTTGGCTATTTCTTCTGCTGAATGTGAACGGTCCTTTAGTTCAATGAACGAAATTGTTTCTTCAAAAAGAAGTGTGTTGACTAGTGATCATATTTCATCGTTAGCTTTCATTAATTGTACTGGACCACCAATTAATAAATTCAATCCCAACATCTATATTAAAACTTGGATATTATCAGGGAAAAGAACTGCAGATGAACAATGTTGTCCAAAAAGAAAAAAGAAAGATGAAGAAGAATCTTATACATCTTTATGGTTATGTTTAGATAAATAGTTACACATACTGGCTATACTTGTACTTATAACATTTACATAGCTTATGTCTATGCGATATGATAATATTATAATTTAAATAAATTATTTATTATTTGTTTTTTTAATTAAATGTTTAAAAATAAAATGTAAACCCATATTTTTTTTTTTTAACATTTCAGGCAATGAATTGCAATTTATATTTTACATTACTTAGCAGGCATTATATATTTTAAATCATTTCTTTAGGAGAAAATTTGATTTTATATACTATTAACATAAACTTTTTGTGAAAAAATTACAAGGGTGTGTGAAAGAAACAAATTATACCTAGTGAGTAGTGGGTTTCTTAAAAAAGTTTGGTTAGATATAGACTTTGGAAGAACTCGGGAACGCTCCTCAATTTTTAGTGACTTTAGTCCCCCCTCAACATTTTTTCCACTTTAACCACTGCCTTCGGGTATTCGTATCGGACGATTGACGATTATAAATTCCGTCCTAAGTTAACAAGGTGTATGGTAAATTCCACCCGGGGAGGGTACTGTAAGTTTAAACACGTGTGTTTTGGTTTGGCAGATTTTTTAGTGGCCACCCGTAGGTATAGTATCTGTCATGCCCGTGGCGGAACTTCTCTCGACACCGTGACTTGCCCGAAGAAAAATGTTGCCCGCGGCTGACATCGAACAGGTGCCAGTGGATATTTTAACTAATATAGGTACTGGGCGACAAAAATGTTGTCCAGAAAAAACTTTTTGTCGCTTAGTAGATGATATATTTAATTACTGGGCGACAACGATTTTTGTAAAAATTTCGATGTTTGAAATTATTATATAATTTTATTTATTGATTATTTATTATGTTTAATTTTGTTATTTATTAATGATGTATATCATTTCGTTTGACAAATAATTATTGAGAGTGAAAAACCCATGTGACCGTTCACCGTAGCCCGTAGCCCTTAGGTATCCATAGAATAATAGGTACAATGCAAGAAAGCTCGACAATGCGACATGTTTCAACTGGTCATCAGTCGTCCCCGGCAAATATCTACAAATTTATGATTTTTGATTTTATTTTAGAACTTGTTCCTACAAGATATTAGCTAAATAATAATTATTTCACTTTGAACCTTTAAACAGTTTAAACGTCCAAGCCTTCAAGGTGCCTAATATGTCATACACTCATACGATACTACGACGACAGGACGACTTCGTCACTTTCTGTACCTAAGTATAAAATAATTTAAAATCTAATATTTTATACTTGGACTTATACTAAATACAGTACCTCTTCTTAAATATTACAAAATACAACAATCCTAAATGATATATACCTATATAGGTACTTGCATAATGTGATACGTATAACGTATTACAGTTGGTTATAAATACTAGTAAAAATAGTAGTATTTATAATCAATGGTATTGGTGTAATATTATTAATGTTCTGTACATTTTTATGAATTATCAATATAATAACTATTATTATAAATTATTATTTATTAATTATTATAATTAATACTGAAAAGTTTTTTATAAGCTCATAAAATGTTGCGTGAATTTTTTTTTTTATGTCACCCAGTGATAAAAATATCAAAAATATATATATTTTATATTAAAATATCCACTGACCGGCGCCGGTGTGCGTCATAACCGACGACTTAATCCGCTCGGCCACTCCGTCCCCCAGAAGGGGTTTTAAATACAAGTTACCACTAAGTGTCGAACGCAAAAGCTACAAGTCTCAAATCTGGATGATGACGAAATGTTATAAATTAAATTGTAAATAATATATGTTAAAAGTGAAGCTTGACGGACAAATGATGTTAGCATTAATATAATAAGTAATAACACGACAATATGATTATGTATAAGTATAATATATAATAACGTACAACTGGACAATTAAACTGTGACAGTACACACACATCGTATACGCTCTGTACAACGACGCCTGTGCAAGTGAGTATTACATACATCAAAGGCCCTATATATATGCACGACCGTGGTCATGTTACATCCGTGAAGACTGAAGAGAGTGAGTCTTATGCTCGTACATAACTAGTTACTATATTGTACACACGTGTCAAGGCTGACTACATATACTACATATTAATTGTATATTTCAATACCCTCCCTTAATTAATAATCTCTTTAATTGTAGTCACTCCTATGGCTGACCGCAACTTCTCGAATCGTTCCTTAACCAAAGGCTTGGTTAGAATGTCCGCAATCTGGTCCTCTGTTCCAATGTACTGTAGTTGGAATTGTCCCTCTTCGTATTTCTCCCGTATGAAGTGGTACCGTACGTCTATATGTTTTGTCCGTTTATGAAACTCCGGATTTTTAACTAAACGAATAGCACTTTGATTATCTATAAATAAAACCGGTTGTTTGTCACCTGTTGTCGATAAGCTTGTTATCAACCGTGTAATCCACAAGATCCCTTTGACAGCTTCACTGGCCGAAATATATTCAGCCTCTGTCGATGATAACGACACACAATGTTGTCTCTGCGATGTCCATGAAATTATGCTTGACCCGTACCTGAATAGAAATCCTGACGTCGAACGTCGTGTCTGAATGTCATCTGCGTAATCTGCATCGCTAAATATTTCTAATGACAATTTTGTTTTGTTATTAAAGTACAAGCCATAATTAAATGTTCGCTTTATATATCGTATAATCCGTTTTACCAAGTTCCAATGAGCTTTAGTTGGTTTTGCTAAGTAACGACTAGCAAAGTTTACTGCATATGCTATATCTGGTCTTGTTACCTGTGATAAGAACAGTAAACTACCTACTGCCTGCCTATAAGGAATATCTTCATTCAATATTTCTGTATCTTCTTTTTGCTTAAGTGTATGTGATTTGTCTATTGGTAGGTATTGAAAGTTCCTTGACTTTATTCGATCCATCTTCTGGTCGCCGCCGGGTCACGATCTTATTTTGAACAGAGTATAGTCAACAATAAGTCAACTTAAGTGATGGATTTTTATGATTTGCAGTAAAATTATTTTTAATATTTTTTTTTTAATTCAGAAATTGTCAAAAATACGTGATTTGTTTCAACTTTTATAATATAAATTATTTCAAGTTAATTGGTTTTTTTTCTTTTAATAAATTAAAATATTTTCAATAATGATCATATACAAGATGGTACCTATATTTATTTTAATAATTTATTTGTAATAATTTCTTCATATAATAATTCAAATATTATAATACATATAAATAACTATCAATAATAAATATATTAATTTTTAATTTTTACTTACCTCAGAGTAACAGCTAGCATTTCTTCGGGTGGTATCGCAGATCTCAATTCGTATCTTGACGTATGATTTTATGTTTAATTTTGGCAAAAAGCTCATCAAGTGACGTTAAAGACATACCAAAAAAATTAAAAAAAACTTACATTATCAGTTCGTAATCTACTATAAAGAGTGTAAAAATCACCATGCAATAATCTTTCACTATTAATTGGGTGCACCCACCATTTTCTTTGCACTCGTTTTTTTTCGCGAATAATTTTCAAAGCAGTAAACGCAAAAATAGCAACCTCCTCGTCATCCATTTTGATGATAACTGACGTTGATCCTAGCTAGTGTGACCAGAAAAGTAACGACCGTTAAAATAACGTCCGTCGTAACGTCCGTTAATACAACGCTCGTGTGACCTCGCTCTTAGCCGATAAGGGTTATTGGATAGTTATAGAACATTACTAATGGGCGACAATCATAATAGTCAGTAATAATAATTATATTTTTCCAAATTTAATACAACCCACATATATTTAAATTTTAAGGAAATACAAAGTATTATAATACTACCTATGATTTATGAATTATTTGATTTCAACACAACACGCCGATCAGTAAGGTTGTCCGTAAGTTTTGTGTTCTTTTTAATTTTTTACAAAATGGGTAAAGATTGGCGTTATGGGAGAAAAGCTAGACGTAAGTTAAGTGCACCTAAAATAAAAACACATATTTTTGCAAAATTTACAGAATAAAAAAAGTGATATACATAATAATATTCTAAAAATTGAAGATTATTCAGACTGTATTCTTATATTTTAATTGCAACAGGAAAATACACATTTGCCAGAATCTGAAAATGTTTTGACAGATAACAACATAGAACTTACTACTGTGGCTCGGTAAGTAAAACATTAATTGTGGATATTATTCATTGTAAAATGACAGACGACAGTTGTAGAACGTAGGTAGTAGTTATATATACTAATGTTCTATATGCCTATATTATTATCAACAGCTATAATAATAGACAAGAAGATGTAACTTATAAAATATTTAATTTTTTGTTCGTTATTTATTATATTTGAGTCTGCTATGGCACATGTTTTGTATCACTTGCGTCCAGGCACGTATACAAAAAAAATCTGGTGATGGGTGGTTCATAGTAGTTTTCAAAATTGTCAAAACACTACCAATTTTTTGTAGTTAAAAAATCTTATATTTAAATTATAATTTTAAATCATAAAATTTAAAAAAAACACCTAAAATACTTTTTATTTAATAGTAAAGGGTAGCCTCAGGCTATTAGTCATATATTATATTTAAAAAAACTGCAATAAAGAAATGCATATACCTAAGTATGGAATATCATTATATAATTCGAATTTCAGCTAATTATTTCCAATTACTGCAAAAGACACATATTACTTATTTTGATACAACAAATATTAAAGGTTACGAAATAGCTGGTTCAGATTTAATTTTTTGTGATTTTTTATTTATGCATAGGAATAATACTAAAGATTTAAACGCTGCAGAATCTTCGTACAATGATAACATCACATTTCAAACAAAATCGTTTTTTACTTCTACTCCGGTGAATAGAATGTTAACTGAAGTAGTTGAGCAGGAAAATAATAGTTCAGAAATAAATAGCTCATTTGATAGTCTGGATGGAAGAAGATTAGTAAATATTAAATATATTTTTGAGTCTATTCAATCAATAAAACATCAAGGGTTTGATTGCACATTTCGTGACTTGG